ATTTCTGAATCTATTTGGGTCAGTTCGTCTTTCTGTCTTTTTTGGTAACGCTTCTTTGCAACTGATTCATGATTTCCGATTTTTGTTTTGTAGAGATTTCTTTCCTGTGGTTCTTTCATTCTTACGGCAAGTTCCTATGGTAGGAACGTTTCTAAGTTTACCTTACATCAGAGGAGTGAGTCTTTGAAACAATCCCAGCAAGCGATGATGGGTACAAGGTTGACCGAAAAAAATGGTTGTATGGTTTACGAATTTTAGGTTACAGATCGACTTGCCGGTGTACGGCAAAGTCCAGTTTGATGATAAAGTGTCTGGACGTGTTTTGATGAATGTTTGAACATCAAATACTCGAAAAAGTGTACCTTCATCCCACTAAAAGGTCATTTCTCATGACATATCATATGTATGATTTCGATTCAACGGAAGCACCCATCGGTTTCCTGTGTAGAGAGTTATACTTGAGATCTTCATCTTGACACTTTTAGTAGACCCAAAATCAAGTCAAGGCTTAAGATCGTAAACTGGAGATATGTGTTGATGAAGTTTTAGTGTTTGATTTCTTCTTTTTTTTTGATATGTGATTATATGTAAGTAGGGTTGGGCAATACTTTGCACTTATATAGAGATGGGTTTAAAAGCATTCTTTACTGAAGATTTATTGGGTAAAAAGAGTCAGTTGATGTCTTGTTATGCTGGTCCTAGTTGTGGATTATTCATTTTGTGAAAGGGAGTTTTCTTTGTGACATAATTTTTTGGTCATGCCAGATGGCAATCTTGGAAGTTGTCTGGATACTTGATAGTCAAAGGCAGATGATACTATGTATATGCTTTTCTCTTGATTCTTTGAATAGTTGAAGAATAATAAGTCTGGATCTCCTAGAGGAGGGATGTTTGGTGAAGTTAAAGTGAGCAAATTGGCATAGATCAATGCCCTCCTGCTACGTGATGCCTGTTGGCTTCGGTCTCAAAGTCAAGATAGAGTGCACATATGCCAGAAATAAGCGATTTATTCCTCACCTTCACATGAGAAAGTCGCTTGGTAGAAGCGCGTTAACATGTTCAAGTTTTGCTTGATTTTTTGTACTTTTATAGCCCATATATAAAGAGCCAAACTTTTTTTGACTGATCAGTTCCGTCTGTTTCTGGAGTTGCATTGGGATTGTCAGATAATACTTCTCTCATCTAGGTCCATGAGGTGATTGATATTGTCTATTGTCTATTGACTGAAAGGCGGTGTCGGAACATGAATCTTTCTTGTCTCATAGGAATCGATTTGCTGGCAAACACCGCAACAGATCTGTACTGGAAGTGCACCCATACCTCATCAGCGCAAGTGGAGTCAACTCACAAGCTACAAATGGACGTGGGGGCTCCCTGGAGAAGATACATCACTGCTTAATGCCGCCCCATATCCTCCCATCACTTGCTCATTTGTCTCTTCTGGGCTTCGACTCCACAAGTCTCGTGACTCCGAAACCAAGGGGGAGGATTGTCTGCATTGCCCTCGCTCCCCACAAGGACCTTGAGAATGGTGAATCGATCAATATTGTACAATAACTATTTATACATAGCATTGCGCGGTGTAAGAGATGTCTAAAGTCCGATGGCTGATGCGCGCTCCATTAACATTTACACACTCACCACTCACTCATGATTCTGCTGGCCTTTGGGCACTTTGCGCAAGCTCCAGAGATTGGTGATTTTTTGATGGTAAGATGTGACCCGGTTAACAAAGGCCATGCGGTGTGGATTTGATGTTACAATATCAGAGTCAGACGAAACAGGAGTTAAATTGATTGGCTCTATTCATCTTTGCAAAGCTTTTTTTCTCCTCTTTCGAACGATTGGACACATCTCAAATGATATCGACTCATTTGGTCTTTGTCGATTCTGGGAAAGAGCGCAGACTCCAGAGGCTCCGAGGCTCCGAGGCTCCTGCGAGCGACAGCGTGTGACTCTGATGAGTTTACTCCAAGGGGCGATGCGAACTTGAAGTGGGGAGTATAGAATCCGTTCGCGAGCATTTCTTTGTTTTGCACTGCCCTGAGGACTATATAAAGGCCATGTGCAGTCAGCCTTCTTGTTCATCACCTCGCTCAATCACTTACATATTCCAATTCCACTTTGAAAATTTAAAAGTTCTTTCGTATCGATTCTCTTTGACACCTTTAACTGTCTTAAAATGCTTTTGAACGTTGCCTCGGTATTTTTTATAGTCTTGCTTACCAACGTCTTAGGACAAAAATCTACAACGTTTCCTGCGCCGAAAGACAACACAGCAAACCCTCATAGTAGGTGTCGCAAGTGGCGAGATGACTTCAAAAAATCAAATGGAGTGTCCGCTCATCGAGTCAGCACTTGTATCTTCACTTGGTATCTTGAAGCTTAAACTGATGCGTGCATGTATGCAAACGGATAATTCGTCTTGGTAGCTTACTAGTCTCGAGACTTCTGCTTTGGTAGCAAAGACAGCCGAAGTAAACTCACAGAATGACATTGAACCTGCTAATCGCGTAAGTCACCCCCTTTAGAGCTCTTTGTCATTTACTTACTCAACCGATACTTCTCGTTACAGAGTAAGAGAATTTCCGGCTCTTCTGGTTTCACAGGTGTAAGCATGCGATCATCTTTATCACCGGTGATACTTTTGTCTGTCCGACATCTTGTTGATACCGTACTTGACTACCCAGGCATGCGGCGTGACCTACAGCGGTCAGGATCGTATGGTGTGCCTCTGGAATGGTTCCTTCGGTAAAGATGACCCAAACTATGTCTCTGGATGGCTCACTGGGTTAGTTCATACTAGTCATCAAGTATGATTCACACCAATTATGCTGACATGAGTTGAACATGGGCTTTATTTATGTCAGAGAACTTAAAGGCCTAAACAATTGCTTCAAAACTGTGTAGGCATTCTTTTTTCAACTATCAAATATAAATGACTGACTTCTCTATTCCACAGTACTGTAACTGCCAATGGTCGGACTGTAGACGCAACTATTGCGGACGGGTGCGCTTTCAGTACTGGCAAACCTGTTGACATTGATCATGGATGTTCAGATATCTATCTCTCTGATCAGGTATGATTTATCATGAGTAAGGCACCCTAAGAATTGTTTCCTGACAGACAGGTATGACTCTCTGTGTAGGTGATGTCAGATCTTGGCTTCACAGATAATGATCAAGATGTTAGGATCACTTCATGGGACTTGTGAGTTAACACATTCTTTGGATCTCTTCATCATGAGCAAATCATCACTGAGATTTCTTGTCTTTTCAGTAAAACCGAAGTTCCAGCAAATCAGCCGTGGTGAAGTTTGATAGCGGTGTCCGTTCCGAGTCTTGATTTATTATTGTTTATGTGTTACGTGCGTGTTCAAAGACAATCACACAATGGTTTTTGAATCTCCTTTTAAAGTTGAATACTATTTTGATTCCAGAGACAATTTCCTATCAGTATCCAAAGCTATTCACTATTATCTTTTTTATTTGCTCGTTTGAACGCTGAACTTCGTGATATGGAATAGATTCTTGTTCCATCTGACTCTCATGTTGCCTTGTACTTATAACCATGAGCTTGAGATTTGAAGTGTACCACTACGTATTATTTCGCTTCCTATTGAGTATTGGGTCTTGCTTCACAGTCGGATTAGCATTTAAGAATATTTAGTACGCATTTCAATGAGAGTGGCCTTTTCTGATCATAAGGTATGTTCATTACCCAAGTGTCTGCAGATCAAGCGTTCTTTTTGTCCGAACACTCATGAGGATTTCCAGCGTTCGATTAGATATGATACATGATTGGCTGAGAAGAGTGCACATGCTTTTTTTGCTCTCGTCGTTAACTCAAAAGGCACCAATCTCGCGAGGTTAAGAGTGTCCTGACACCTGCTACCAATCAGACTTGTATCAAGTTAAAACAAAACTGATTGTGAAAATGCTCAAGGAAGAGTTAGAAAAACGAACTCGAAAAATATCGTACACGCTTATAAGCTGATAACACGTAACTTTTGTGTTCCTGAGAATACTCTTGAAGTGAACTCGAACAAATATTTGATTGGTGGTTGTCAAACCTACACAAGGGGAAAAACAAGGGGTTTTGTGAAGCGATTGTATTCTAATCAAACGAAATAGTTGGCACCAATTTTAGTCCGTTTGGATCAGAACAGTTGCAGAGTGTCCTTTGTACACATTTCATTGTGATGCTCCTTAACCTTTCTGCTTTTTCCAACTGGTTTTAGGCGGCTGAGCAGAGTCTGTTCAAAATTTATCTGCGAATGAGGGTATGTTCTCAATTTGGTTGGATATCTTACAACCTGGAAATGGACGTCGAAGGTTGCCAACAAATCTACAAGAGAGGGAAGAGGGCAAAAATAACAGGTAGTTACCCTCACGAGATACATATCTCATTGAACACATTTCATCTGTGATATCCACTTCCGAAATACAATCATCTCCCTTTGTTCGGGTATGAACTCAAGCTTCTGTATCTTATAAGTCCACACACAGGGGGTACACAAGTATGATTGTACCTTTATGACTTTGTGGTATGGTACAGACCGTGCACTTGTTTTTCGAAATACAATCCAAAGCTGAGGAATTATGGGATAGAAAGGAAATAAAGAATGACAAAGATGTATGAGGCAGGCAAGAAGTTATTAGTTTGTGAAGAGATGTATGACAACTTTTCAGTTTGTGTTTCCTATGGAAAGATTTGTTCTCCTTTTACCGATTTCTTTGAAGTTGTATTCAAGTACATACAGCTACTAAAATATTTATCGGTAGTTTTCGACAAAATGTGTTGCACCGGGTATTAAACCTGAAGTCCAAAACTAGATTTAAAACCCTCTTTCTCTGAGATCCTGCGATCGGACTTTCTCTTTCTTGGCTCATGACTGACATGTTCTTTGCTTGTCAAGCGTCCTTCCGTAGCCTCTCTTTCTCTCTCTCCATTCCCGTCTGATATTGCCTCCATCAAGTCGCACTGGACCCTACTCCTCTCCTCCACCATCAAGTCGCACTGGACCCTACTCCTACTCCACAACCGCTTTCAAATCTCATTCAAACAATGTACGTCTTCTTACCTTCTCACCCCAGCAGATTCTACGTCCCAATCATCCTTTTCTGTTCTTTCACAACTGAAGAAACGCTCTCTTTGTCATTTCTAGAAATCAAGACCGATTCTAGAAACTCGGACCTACAACCGGGATTCTCACCTATCCTGTTTGAATTCGTCAATTCGTCCACCTACTGAACAAATCAACTTCTTCAACCAAACAAATCGCAACATTATCCAATTTCGCCAATTGAAACATTTAATACCAAAGATCATTTCTACAAATTCGCCCCTACGACCTGCGACTTTGATTGAACCTTCTTCGTTTCATTCCATTTTCATACAAAAATCTCAATCTAGCACTCGAACGGACTTCCTTTCTGCAACATCTCAATACGACTCGTTCTCAGTGTGACTTCAAAAGAAATCTCGAACAATTGATGTCAACAATTTTGGCCTTATATTTCACGTAATAAATTATACCAAAGAATCAATCTAGCAGTCGAACAGACCTCAAGCATCATCGGTGTGACTTCTGAAGAAATCAAGATCAATTTATGTCGATGCATCGCCACTAAAATCTCATATCAACATGTTTCTATCGTTCTGTGGACAACTTCCAGTTCAGTCACAGAGAACAAATGGATCTTTCGACTTCTCTTGGCGATCCGGAATCAAAATTGCGCACCTCGGTGATTTCATAACTATAGCAGGCTTACCTGTAGTCACTGTCTACGGCTATAAAAGGCTCCCCAACTGCCAAGTTCCAAAGGTCTACCAAGCGAATCTCTGCTATCGATTTCAAACATCCAAAATCTTCTTTTTTAGTCAAGCGCTCTCCTTCTTCACACAAGTCCTTTATTCTAATAGTCAGTTTTTTATCTTCATTTGGCATATATATGCAAATTGTATTAATATGTCTTCGTTTTTGACCGCAAATTTCCGTTTCGCTTTAGCCTTCAGTCAGTTTCCTTCTGCTTTTCCCCGAACCGAGATTGGTCTCCGTTGCCTGATCGCCATGATTTTGTTTTTTTAAATCCAGGAATGTCTCAAGTGTCTCAAGAATTCAACACCCAAGACTCGCAAGTGTCGGTGCCGTATAATCTCGAGTCGGCTGGCGGTCACATGAATCAGTGTAAGCTCAATTTGTCTGCATATCTATGACGATAAGACAGCAGTCTGAAATCTGTCATGATCATCATGCAGTGTTTCAATCAATCACCACCATCACCGAAGGTGACGACGCCCCAGCCCGCTTTGCAGTCGAGCCCCTCTACCGAAAGGGAACCGAAGCCCGAAAAATCTTCGATAAAAAGCACGAAGTGGCGGTAGCGGTTGTTTTCAAAATCCACACGCCAAACCAAGTTGATGTTGTTCCGGTAGCAGCTCCCTCGAAAGTCACCACTCGCAAGTCGGCCAGTGCTAACAAGTTGGAATTTCTGGACTCTAAATTTTTCAATGACGGTGAACCCTTAGAGCTGAAGACTTGTCTCTACGATGTTTCTTTGAATGAGTTCAAGCGCCTCTGTGCTGCCATCTGTAATGATTATGCCCCAGGTATGAGTAATCTTTTACTCGCACCTGATTTGGCTCCTTCGGTTACTTGGAAAGCGGTCGTCGGTCGCGCAAAAGTTACGTTACGTGGTTTGGAAACTTGGCAACAATTTGTTGACATGCTTGAAGCTTCAAAGAAGAAGAAGGGAACCATCATGATCCAAACGGAAAATGAAACCGCCAAGGCCAAAAAATTAGCTCAAGTAAGCCCGAGTTTCATGACTTTTGTCCCTGTCTCTCATGTCTCATCATCTATCTATATTTCTGACATTTGTAATGTTTATGTCATACCTTGATGTTTAGGTGAGTGCGGCCAAGAAGCTGATTGCTTCAGCAACCGGGCCGCTACTTGCGAGTGAGGACCTTGCAGAGGCTAATGCGCGCTTAGAGGTGAGCAAGTGTTTCACTTTTCGTTGCCCTTCTCAAACATCAAGGTATTGGTATTCTTATTAATGCAGTTCAATTTATTTTCGTGGTCACAGGCTTCGCAAAAGCTGGTAGCTCTGCACGAGACCTCGGCCGCGCTTTATCGCAAGCATGCCGAAGAAGGCACTGCCGGAGGAGATGGTGCGATCCTCGTGGCACCCTGGGATCCTCATTTCCATTATCGGTTCACTCTTAGATGTGCATACATCTGGGCCAAGGCGGTTGTAAGTCCGATTTCTTTTACAGCTTCCATCTTATTATAGATGGTGTCGATTCCCTCCTTATTTTTCATCCCGCCCCGATTCAATTTAATTCCGTTTTTTTGGTTTTGTTTTGATTTGTTTATAAACTGATTCGTGTAATATCTTGGATCTTTGATGTGTAGACTGCAGGCATGGCCACTATGCATATGGCTCCCAATACCGCGGAATACAAGAATGAGATGATGAAGTGTCGCGTGTTTCATAAGGACATGCGTGTTGATGATCGTGTCCATCAGCGAGGACTTAGCCGGGCTGCTCGCCGGGCTGCTAATCGAGCCCACCGATCTAGCAGTTCAATATTTGGTGCTAAACGAGACAGCAAACCGCGCGCCTCCACCAGTGCTGGCCCTCACACGATTAACTTGGTCTCCTCTTCGCCGGATGCGGACAAAAAACTTTGCTCTTTGATCACGATTTCGTCCTCACCTGATGAAAAGCCTGGCCCTTTCTTTCCCCCCATGCCGACCGTCGAAAAGGCGCCTAGCACTCCGACCCCTTCCGGAGGTCAGGCCGACGACTTGATATCCTATTCTTCTGATGATTCCCCTATCCGTGAAGGCAGCCAAAAGGACATCAAGCCCCACTTGAGTCCTTTGAAACTAAACAGACCTCAATATGGTATGTTTCGCTTTCTCTCTCTCCCTCTTGATTTTATCTTCATGATTGTTTCGCAGCAATTGACTCATAGGTTATCTTTGCTTGTGGTTATGTATTTTCAGCAACCGGTCGATCAAAAGGCGAGACCATATGGTTTGACACCCCAATTGAGGATGATGATGATACTTCGGATACTTCAGATGGTTTGGACGTCATGGCCTCACATGAGGCAGCCCTTGAAAATTTCGTTTATCTTATTGGTATACCTCCTGATGATGTGAATACCAGGATGGGCCTTGCTAATGCTGGTGTTGAATCCTGGATGGATTTAATACCCTCAGTCAACATGACTGAGGCGACTTTGATTGAGAAGGGGATTGACCCCGAAGTGGCTGCTCGTCTCCTTTCTGCTGCGCAAACTCGTGAGCAGCGAATGAAAAGTAAGTAATCTTTTCTTTCGGGTGTTTGTAATCTTTGACTTACTTGGTATGTTTCCTATTCTTATGCAGATACGTTTATCAAAGCCTCCCCTAAATGAACATGTTAGCTTTGTAACTTCTCAGGCGACATTGTGTTCACCTGTCCTGCTTCTAAACTTCCAACTGTCCTTCTCCGAATGCGTTGGGAAAGTATTATTTCACTCGTTATTCCAATACTTTACCTTGGCCAATTTTTTCTCTTCTGAATGTATGAAGAAGTATTAAATCACTCTTTTTTCTAATACTTCACCTCTCGCAAATGTTATCTGTTCTGAATGATTGATGAAGTATTATTTCACTCTTTTTTCTAATGCTTCACCAATCACAAATGCTATGTGATCTGAATGAATTCAGTGGATTTTGTTTCTTGACCTCACATGTCTTTCCACTTCTGACCCTCAGTATTTTTCCCTTGATTTCAAATGTCTTTCCTCTTAAATGTTTTTTCTCTCCTGTGAAGACTTGTTTCACTCGTTTATCCAAGTCTTTATCTATCCAATCAATTTGTCTGCTTGTGATTCCTAATCAATCATACACTTCATAATTGATATCAAATAAAATTGATTTTTTGGATACTCAAAGATTGAAAAAGAAGTCGTGTAAAAGCACCACTTCTTTGCGAGAGTGAGCCCAACATTTGCATCCAAAATCAAAAGAAGTCGTGTAAAAGCACCACTTCTTTGCGAGAGTGAGCCCAACATTTGCATCCAAAATCAAAAGAAGTTGTGTAAAAGCACCACTTCTTTGCGAGAGTGAGCTTAACATCTGCTTCCCAATTCAAGTCATTATGAATAATGAGTTGAAATTTTTTGTCATTATAAGTCATCACTTTCTATGAAAGCGCATGCTATCAATGATTTATAATTCAAAATATTAACATAGATTGATTTATAAATGTTTTAACTCTATAAAACATAGTAGCTCGTATTGTCCGAGCTTTAGCAAGCATCATGTAAGCTCAAAAGATTAATATTTTCATTTCGAGCGACGCATAAGGTAACAACAGATTATAAACTAAGGTCACAATGGACCTAGCGTGGCATAAAGTAACAAAAGATAATAAAAAAGGTCACAATAGACCTAGCGTGGCATAAGGTAACTAAACAACAATAAAAGGTAAGATTCGAACTAGGGGACAATCAAATGCTTCAAACAAAATTATAAATAGCCACAGCCTCGGAAAAGGCCCTCACAAAGAGAAGGGGTGAGAACCTCCATAGCCGTCGTAAAAATGGCTGCTTTTTCTTCTTCCAGATTCAAGGCGCCTTGGAGGAGTTGAGATCGTCTCAACCTAGCCTTAAGAACTGAGAACCCTTTCTCGATGGGATTAAAGTCGGGGGAGTAAGTTGGGAGATACAAGAGCCGCACACCACGAGCCTCGCACAGCTCAGCTACTCGCCCACCGTGATGGATGGGCACGTTATCCATCACCAAGACGCTATTTCTAGCAGGCCAAGCATTCATAGCGGGCAACTGCATACAAACACTCCAATGTCAGCAAGGGGTATGAGATTCTTATCGGTTTAGAAATTTACTTACTACATCATGCTCCAAATAAGATTCAAAGTCGATACAAGAATAACCTCCCAATTGAATCTTACAAGCAATGATGCCATCCATCGAGATGGCAGGTAAGACGGACCATCGTACGGCCGTGGTTGGCCTCTCGAGACGGGTTGACCGTGCACCAACAGGCGCTCGTGCATAATCGCGGTACAATCGGCGCTTTGTTATAGCACTTTCATCTGGCACAGTTTCAAAAGGAAGAGTTGCACGTAGAATGAGCAACATATACAGATTGGTACTGATATACAAATTGTTACTAACCTGTAAAAACCAAGCATCTACGATCTATTCCATGTACCGACTTGATATAAGCACCTCGGGCAACAATAGATTGATTTGGGTGCACCGTGCGTGCTTTCTTTCTGGTCCATTTCAGTTGATGTCGAAGTTCATTTGAGAGAGTCATCGTTGTGACATGGAGGCCAAACTGATCCAAAATCTTGCTTTGTAACTCGTCTAGGTACAGAGTGGGATCGAGTCAAAGAGCCTCAAGGACAAAATCCTTCTCAGCTTGACCTAGAGAGTTTGGCGGGCCTCGGTCCATGTGATCGCCGGCGTTGGTGACGACGGCTCGAGTTCTGAGGTATAGATCATACCACCGCCTGACCGAAGTAAGGGATAGTTCCATGCCCAGGTTAGTGACAATGTCACGAAATCGCATCCCTCGGAGAATCATCCGGACCACGACGAGTTTGATATCAGAACTATAGAGGTTAGTTGGCATCTAACCATTGGAAGACAGGGACCAAAAAGAGAATCAGGATGTCAGTAAATACTTTTTGATTCCCCTTCAAGATCATAAATTTCGTGAACAAACCTTTGCAGTATGTTAGAGTTGAGTTGAACAAGGCCGAGAGGTTAAAACAAGAGATACGATAGAGCAAAACTATTACGGTCTATAAAATCAAAGAATTAACGGAGAAATATGGAATAAGAAAGGGGGAGGAAAAGAAAAGAAAGAGTAGGACTCGGACGGACCTGAGATCAAGATCAACGAAAAATCTACGAGATATTCGAAGCCAAGCCTTGTGATGTTTCGATTGACATGTTGACAGACATGGAAGTTCTGACTATGTACGAGAAGAGAGAGAACCTCTTGGTCTCTCACAGTACTTTGCTTTTTTTTGGTGCGAAACTTGGTTTTATCTGGTTTTGAGTTAAAACCCGGTGCGACACAATTTCGGTACAAACTACCGATAAATATTTTAGTAGCTGTAACTGTAAATCAAATCCAGTTTTAGTAATTTGGTTTTAGGATACTCGAACTTGTACACAAAGGTTTGCTGAGAAGAAGTTGATCAAAAGAAATCTTCAGAATTTCTAAAACGCTCAGTGAAAATATTTAAAAAAAATAAAATAAAAATTAATCAACTTTCTTCTCCTCTCCATCATCGATTATCAACAAGGACACTGACCAACTACAACTACTCGATTCCAATCGATATGAGTAATCAAAACAAATACTTGAACTTAGTTTTATCTCATTCAGATCAAGACGACGAAATCGAGATCGGATCAGAAAAGAAGAACAAAAACAAAAACAAAGCTGAAGTTCAAGAAGATGATGAAGGAATTCAATCGACTTCAAAGAAATCAACATCAACCATCATTGATTTAACATTAGATTCACCTCCAATTTCTACCAATAAAAGAACTCAATCAAATCCAAGTACAAGTACAAGTCATCATCTTGATCAAAATCGATTTCATCATGTAAAAAAATTAAAACAAACTACTTTATCTAATTATCAATCAAAAACACCTGCACCTGATCATCCTACAAAACCTTCTTCTTCTTCTTCTTCTGCTCCCTCTCTTGACTTAGATGAAGGTAAGTTG